TAATCCAATGTTGTGGTGTGAACTGCAAGGCTTCAAGCGCTATTGTAAAGTTTAAAACTGTGTGAATTGCGGCTATTAAATGAAACACATTGAATACATACAATATATAACTGTGGTTTAAAAAATAGTCATATTCAGATCTTCAAAAAAAATTATTTTATAAACCTAATGTAATGAAAAAAAGCAACAGCATTTAAATTTTCAATATGACTTATGAGACAATTACAATAATAACTACAAGAAAAAGTAGTTTCCTCCATTTATGAGACGTCTCAGTTAAAATTTATTTGTCAGTTCTCAAGTAATTACTTCAAATCTTCTAATATTTGAATAAGTGCTCTTATATGTTATTATAACTTTTCTCGTGCAATAAATCGAATAAATAAACTATTACATAGTGTGAAGAAAAACAGCCATTAAGAACAAATACAGGGTACTTTTAAATACATTTGGTACACTTCTTTATAGAGAAGAGCTCTTCCAAGGGATAAGTGCAGATCTTCGCGTGTCTACGGTATATAGACTCTAAATGATGTTATTATTCTCAAGGTATTGTAAAATTTACATATACATACAAATGTAGGTTAAGTTTTAACAAAAAACAAGCAAAATATTGTTGTTGAATGATTTGTATATGCATATATATATAATAAAATTGATTTTCTTTGGAATAATGGATTACCTTGTAAATAGTTGAATAAACTCTTCAGAAAATTAAAATTTAGCCATGAAGAATATTTACATAGTATAAAAAAATTTCAAAGTAAAACTATATTTATAAAGCTTAAATCATTGTTTCAATGAGTTATTATCCCTAATATAACAAATAATAAATCCGTTTCCTTTAAATAAAACTAATATTTTGGGATTATTACGTGTTATTTTATTATTTATAAAATAACATACTCTCGCAGTGTCAGTTAGTTTGCAGCAACCGTCATCACAGGCAGAAGATGCCAAAGTACTTGGATAAATGATCGTATTCTGTAGGGGACTTTTCTTTTATGATGCATTATTATTATTTAATTAATTATTTATTTTTCGTAATTTTTTTTCTAACACAATTTTTTTTAATTTGAATTTTCTCTCCTGTTTCGTTTCTTTTCCTTACTTCACTTCGAATTTATCAGAAAAAACCTCCTTTTACCGTTAGTGTTGCCTGAGTCGTTCCATTATCGGTCATAATTTTCTCATATTGTTGCTGTTTTGTTGTTTTTTGTATGGAAGATTACAGATATGCAATTTTATTGTATAGGCTTTTAGGAAGAAGGCATGTTTAGTGAGAGTCTTTACGGTCAAGTGCAATTAATCTTAATAGCTGGGAACATGCTTGACCTTCAATGAAATGTCTCTATAAACAGTTTTATTGCACACTCCTCTTAAAGTTTTTTATGTCGACTCATTGAAGTACATGAATTTTCTTACTTAGGAATTTGAATAAGTAGATTTTATTTTTGTTTTAAATGCTACAAACTTACTCAAATTTAGAACCTACTTTTTAATACTGAGTATTAACTATATCATAGGAAATTAATGTGAAAGCGGAAATATAATTATTTTTGATGATATTTTTCGTATTTAAGTAAAATCTCCTTACTCCGATCGTAGTGTCGTACCAAAACGTGTGTAAGATTATTGATTGGTTTAAAGTTGAGTAGAAACTACCAATTTATGTGTTTCAGTATATATGTGAATATATATGTACATATATCTGTTATGTCCATAATAATTATTTGTTAAGACTTCGTTGTTAAAGTAACTCTACTCTACGTTTTCCTAAACAAAGTCTCTACAATACCATGTCTTGATTTCAGGAAAAATAATTTTTAAATAAAAAAAACAGGAATTCAAAAAAAAAAAAAATACTTAGGAAAACAGGACTAAATAAACTATATTAGTGTTTAAGTACTTAATCCTAGAAGGCACTGACTTCAAAAAATGAATCAGTCATCTGCCTATCAGAGCTCATTGCTGAGCAAAGGCGTCTTCCTCACACGGTAAAGGTTTGAGCATTAATCACCACGCTTGCTCAAGACGGGTTGGTGATTTCAAACTTATAATTGTGAAATTATGAGTCCAGGTTCCCTTACGATGTTTTCCTTCACCGTCTGTCAGTGGTATCTAAATATTCTTAGAAAGTACATATGACTCGGGAAAATCACATTGGTACTTGCCAGGATCGAATCCGCGCCCTCGTGCACGAGAGGCGGGCCCTTTAACCACTAGGCCACCACTGACTGCTAGGCCACCACTGACTTGAAAAAAATGAATAGTGTTCGTTTATCTACATTATGTGTTCTGTAATTTTTATGCAGATATCTTAAATTTATTATTAGCCAGGATGTGTATTGTTAAAATCAGTAAATCCGGGATATAGAGGTAAACACAGCATAAGCATGATGGACTGAGTAGTAAAAACGAACGTGTTTAGAGCCTGTCATGTTTAGTTATATAATATAGGTGTTGTAAGGATAAACAAGGAGAAAAAAAACTTTAACTATTACAGAAATCTATATGGTAACTCAGAAATGTCTTCAACTAAGTGAGACTAACTGTTCAGAAATATTTTTTAAATAATTTTCACATTAATTCATTGCATTAGATATAGCACTATTAAATATTAAAGTTCATGGAGGAAATAATTAAAATGACCCGATTATGTTTAGATCCCTGATGTGTTAAATATTGATTCGTACTGAAGATAAACCAATATTGGTAGTTGATACGTAGAAACCAACCTGCGTCGTTAAGGGAACAATATGCAAATATATAACATTCAATAGCTTTTGTTGAAATGACATCGACAGATATGAAAAATATAAATAAACTAGAAGACCTGGCGAACTGTGTATCGCCCTATAATCAAGAAATATCTATAACGTTTTTTTATTTATATATGTATTTGGAGTTTACCTGTTAGCCATAAATTTCCGTGCTTTGAAGTGCGACAGAATGATTGACATATTAGTTAGTTGTCAAATCTAAATCTAGTCAAATCTAATGTCAAAAAAAAACGTTTGTATGGGAAATAGAAAAGGGCTGTTTTTATGGTTTTCCCAGTAATGAATCAATTTTTTTCAGCTTTTATACCTTCCCTGAATCTTCACGAACATTTCAAGACTAAGATAAGATAAATCCGTTCAGCTGTTCTCGAGTTTTAGCGAGACTAAGGAACAGCAATCCATTTTTATATATATAGAAGAAAATAACTTTCCAACCAAATTAGGAAACCGGTGAATAAGTAAATTTTACACATTATATAGTTTTGTACAATTTACTTTAATTTGCGGAGGCAATCAGTAAAGCATCCAGAACCGTTGGTTTTAGGTTTTTATTAAATATATTGAAAAATATGTAATCTTTTTAATAACATGTTAGATATAATTTTGGTACTTAAAGTCAAAAGTGGTGAAACGAGACTATTACTAACACTCCACTATCCTTTCGTCAATCTGTCCATCTATGATCAGGCCACATCTCATGCATGGTGACACCTATTTGAACATTTTACAGATCATGAATTTCTGCCATCGTCTTAAAAAATAAATAATTTTATTATTTCGTTAATAATATAATATTAATTATCTATTACGATAATATAATTCAATATTATTATGTAGAGAGAAGTAGATTATACGGTGAATAAGAACTCGGTAACACACTTTGAGAATGTCCGTGTAGGTTATTCGCTCAAATAATGTATGAACATTTATATGTATGAAACTCGTTTTCATTGGAGAGATTTATTGTGGAGTCTCTCTTGAGTATCTTCTCAAAAACTATTCTTATGTCGCTAATTATCTTTAAAATATCGAATTCGTTATGACTTACTGTGATCTAAACAAGACTTACAATGGATTTACCAAGATTGATACAAATACATTTTTCTTCGTAATATTTCATTTCTGATGATATCAGTCAGATACATGAAATGAATTGATTAAACTGTACTTGTTTTACGTTTTTCTTAAACACCTGTAGTGCGAGCGTCAAAATTTATGACAAAAGAGAACAGTAAATACGATTGGAAAGACTCGGAAGTAAATAGTATGAGTGGATTTTTTAAAGTTCATATATTCCAGCGGACTTTCTGCCAATAGAATTATCATAAGGAGAAGGACGCCTATGATGTTATTATATCAGCAACATTACCCGACTGTAGGTAGTAACTTATCCTTTCCTTATAGTTCGGTAAGAGTACAGCAGACGCGCGTCTACATAAAAAATTAAAAGAGCCTATTGTTATAGCTGTCTGTACTCTGTGTGAGACAATGTTTCTATTAAACCTCATTTAGTTCAAGGGATTCTGTCTCTTTTGACTTTTCATAAATGTGGTTATTTTTATATTAATGTATGTTTTGCCATAACAATGAAGCTATCATAAAGCAAAAATTTTAAAAACATTGGGTTAGATTTGTGAGTGGCATGTTTTCTCACGATAAATTTTATATAGCCTGCGAGTACAACTATAAATAAAGTAATTTATCAAGATAAATTTAGGAAAGTCTTTAGATTTGAGGATATTGAATATAAAATGCTTGACCATGATATATGGGTCATATCTATATTATTTTTCAACATAATCATTTTTTATACTCTACTATAAGGTTTACCCTAACAAATATTTCACGCTGCTTTATGATATACAAATACATATTTCGACAAGATAAAAAGATTTCATGTGTTCTTCGATATTCCACTGATATTTACAAGTATTTCAATATTTACAAATAAAATCGTAATAATATTCATTATATTCAATTTATTTAACATAATTATTTATTATAGAATGATAATTATTACATCAATTCATTCATTATATTGTTAATAAATTTGTTTACTTTTTGATCTGATTCTACAATCACAAAAAAATCTTAATTGAAATAAAATCGAATTTATATTACAGACTACTATAGACAAAGATATCCAGGTAACATCAGGGGATCGGCCTCCATATGTATAGATATAAATATACCATCAAACTATGTAGTATGGTTAAACTATCGTGTGTAGTCAATGTGTCCGTGTCTCTGCAGCATGTCTGCCGAGAGCGTGTGTGCGGGAGCGGTGCGTCGAGACGATCGCGTGACGTGACTGAGTTGTGTCGTTGCGTGCGCCGTGCTGCGTAACATCGGCGCGGCGTTCATGTGACCATTGTAACGGAGAACGTTCAGCTGATGTGAATATAGACAAAATTGTTACCGTTTCATAGCTCTTACCCTTTTAATAGACTGCAGTGAAAGAATGTCTGTATATTACATAGCGTAACATTTTCACTTTACAATATTTACTTTATAGACATTATTGAAATTCATTCGAAGACTCCTATTATTCTTTATATAAAGTTATTTTATTCGCAAATTGTTTTTGACAGGACATAATAGAAGATAATACATATTCAAATTCAAGTTTCCTCGTGTACACTATTCTGGATATAATTGTAATGTCAGTTTTCAAAATGACTGTGCATACATATTTATAAGTTTTGGAACTTACTTGTAAATAACATCTTTTATGTGGCTCGTGATAAAGCTCATAGTCACTAGAAGACCCGTCCGGTTTCTGATGGCATTTCCACTGTTAAATAAATAAAATATTTCAGATTATAATAACCACCGCCTAGTTGTAGGGAAAGTCAAGAACAATAAGAAACTGAGAAAACATAATTCTATTTCAGATTTTGTTCATCAAAATCTTTATTCCTAAACCAAATTATCATCACAAAACTGATATACATAGCAAACTATATATAAATATAATTTTTGATATTTCATATTTTACTTTTTCTAAAAATATCCGTATAAATGATTAAACGGTCACCGGTCGACGCTCCTCTAAGTAACAACATCTTACCTTGTACAACAAAGCTTCGTTAAACATTGCTAATTAAAATGTTTCTTATAAATATGACGTAAAACGGTGTTAAGTTACAGAGATCGTAACCAAGCTTTTATATTAAAACAGTATGAGAAACTTCTAATTGAAATAAATATAAACAAACACATTTTATTTTGCGTGTAATCTTTTATTGGCATTCATTAGTTACACGCAGAGTTTGGTCAGCTCTTAACTTATAATATTAACTCGGCCCCTCGACAAGGAGACATTAATATACATTTTGCGGCACTGAAACCTACCCAAATGGATTTGATTTTATGAATCTTTGTTATAAATGAAAGCAAAAAGCGTTTGCCGTTAATGTCAATTGTGTGACTAAGATAATTGTATTGAATTTTTTTGAAATTATAACGTAAGAATGCTAAGGTACATATTATTTTGAAGATTTATGGGAAAATATGCATCTATACCAAATAAATAATTTCTATTTAATGTAAATATATACGCAAGATAAAATATTGACATATTCAAACGTTAAGCAAGATAAAACATATAATTATATGATTGTTACCTCGAATTCCAAAGAAATATTTGACGGTCTATTAAGACGGTGCTTTTTTATATGAAGTTGTAAGAAAAGCAATTTCTTGCAGCAGGTGTTTAACTAAAAATGTTTATAACTTTATTCAACGAACGATTACTAAAAAATCTATAAAATAAAGTTAGTGGCGGCCTAATGGTTAAAAGTCTGGCCTCTCATACACGAGGGCGCGGGTTCGATCTTGGCTCTGGCAAGTACCAATGTGATTTTTCCGAGACATATGTAATTTCTAAGAATATTTAGATATTGAGTCTGATGTCAGGCAGGCGGCCAGTTGAAAAACAATTAAACAAAACTATTCACAACAGCTAGGGCGGGACCCTGGCTAAAGCTGGGAAATTGCCAGGTAGAAGAAGTAATAATAAAAAATTATTAATATAATAGTTTTTCAAAATAAATTTTTATATGTCACTTTTTGTGTGTCATGTCAATGTGTGACTGTTGGCAGTTCATAACAATAATAATACTGGATGGAGCCAACATATTATGTGACTTGGCGTTTTATTTTCAAATTACTCTCTTCGTTGATCTAGAGAATTGATCAGACAATATAAAAAGAAATGAATCCGTAGGATGAGTGACATTTCTTATACTGCTATAAATAATATTTCAATATTTGCTTAGGTCTTGCTACGATCCAGGTTTATTTATTTTTTCAGATCAATAAATTAATCCTTATTTATATTTATATTATCATTATTTTATCTTATCTATGTTGTATGTGTTTTTTTTTTAATTTCTTTTGTGTATGGACTTGTTGTAGTCTTGTCAAAAGTTTTTATCAAAAAAATCATAAGGTCCGCCATTTAGTTAGTAACGTGATACTTTTGTACCTTAAAGTCTCGTTGACACTGAATATATTTTATTGTATTGTCCTCAAAACTAAAGCATGCACCAAAAATTTGACAATAAAAGCTAAATCTCTTAATTTGACGCACACAAAAGACAAACTGAAAAATAAATGTTTCATGTTTCTTTATTTAGGGAAATCACTATGAAACTACTTCATACACGGTTTAAGAAGCAATTCTGTTAATGAAAAAATATACCATAATTTACTACGGATATTCGATCATCACTTCAATGACTAAAAGTTCAATTTGTTTATAATAAATCTCATATACTTCATAATACTAGTTACACTCACATCTCGTATGTTGTTTATAATCAAAAATAAAAATCGCGTAGTACATCCGAAAAATATTACTTTAATTTAAATAAATAGTCGCGAAAATCTTAGATTTCAATATTTAAGAAAATATTAAAAAACAGTTTTGGAGTCATGAAGAAATACTTAGTCTCGCCTTTGTCAACAAGCAAACACATCAAAGTTCAAAGGTCAATTTGTCGGAAACTTGTAGCTGTTAATTATAACGGTGGACATTCATACTTGAGGGTTCTAATTAAACTGCAATTACTTGAATAAACACGGATCGTATTTAAATACTTAATGTACATTTATATATAATTTTGTATATATAAAAACGAACCTTAATGTTATAAAACTACAAAATGCGAAGTTTAGGGTATTGCTATTGAACTATGTCTATTTCATTTCACACATTGCATCTAAGATTCTTATAAAAGGAATAAAAGATGGGTTTCAATTAAGGGTACCATCGTACAGAAATTAATAATATTAATATTTAAAAAAAATATACTTGCACCAGGTCTCTTATTATACTTGCACCAGGTCTCTTATTAGGTCATAAAATTTTACACCTTGAACGTTAATTTACTGATTTATTTTCCAATATAATACTTACTCTTTTAGTAACGATTTGAAATTCTCCTGTTTTAGAATTTTAGTAAATAGATGTCAATTATAAAAAAATCTACATACTGTGTGAATAACATAACATCAAAAGAGTATTTTATGTACATAGAAGAGTTTGTACAATTGTTTGCAATCCATAAGGGTATTTTTATTTAAAACCTTTAAAATATTTTGTCATGACTCTGAATGCGCTAAAAATAAATTTGTGATAAAAAATTGGATCATGTTTCAACTGCTTTAGAGCGGAACGGGCACAAAAAGGATTCAATCGATGACCTTTTACCTTACTTGTTGTGTTTTTGCCATCCAGGGTTTGAGGCTCGGAGTATTCATTATCAAAACATATGTATGTTATACGAAATCATTCCGTAATGTACCGGTGACTAGTTCAGATGAAACGGTTTGTGACAAAATATATTTTTAACAAATAACGTTACACTCCAATGTTACTTATTAATAAAATTCTAATAGTACAATAATCTAGAATCAAAATGGGTAAGAGAATTTCTTTGTGACTCAATAATTATAATATACTAGTCATAAACATATTGCTTTGTTTCATTTATTACTTAATGTGTCGTATTGATTCAATATTATAGAGGTTATTAAACAAGTCACGATTCGAATAAAAGCTTTGAGAATTAGAGAAGCTTTATAGAAATCTAACGACACTTGGTGACTGTACTTATTATTCAAATGTTGTTGTTCTTTTTACAATACACCTTTAATAGCAAAGACACGAATATTTTTATTGAATAATATAAGATTTTTATTTATTAATTTAAATACAACTAAGATCTTCGTATGTAATAAACGTTTTACATCATTTTGAAACTACATATATACTCCCGACATTTCGGTTTATTTGCACATGGTCATGGTTGGTGCAACGTGTAAATATGTATATATATATATTCGATAATCTTAGTTTTATTTATATTTTATTTGTTTCCCTGACAAGGTTTCATTTAAGAAGTAAAATAATGCAATATGAATTGGAAAAGTCTGCAAATTATTCTATTCTCTAACATTTTCAGATTATTACATAACTTGTATTTATTGAATCAGTAGTGTTCAAAGAGGTCAAATATTGTAACGAAATCAATAGGGTCAGACCATTTTTGAATTCCACATTAAATTTATAAGTGATCAATGTTGAATTGTAATTAGCGTCTGTCCTCATGTACGGGACGGGCATCAGGCCCATGTGAAGAATAATGAACAGGTAATGTTTAATATCGTTAAATAGATTGAGATTAATATGAAACTTAAAAATATTTAATAAAAAAGTTGAACATACTCGTACATCTAGTTTGACTTTACCAAGTTTATACAGGATCATCTTTATACAATTAATTATTATTGATCCCGTGATAGAATTTTGAAAGCCATTCGATTTTCCTTCATGAAACACAGAAACATAGATGTGATAATATGAAGATAAGTTTAATTTATTTGTAATTTTACCGTAATTGAATTATTGATGTGGTAAGAACTTTATAACCTTTCTGTTAATGAACACATAGATTTGATAATAATAATTATTATTTATATCAATGTTCACTAAATGTGGGTAAATCTCTACGATCAGATAAATCCTCATTCGTCCATCCGTCCCTTCATATTATAATCCAAAGGATTCCCTTTAACAGACAACTAAATAAATACATTTTACATATATGAAATACGTTCAGATAACAATATTTTTTATGATATTTTCATATCTCAAAGTTTTCTATTCTATTAACAATAATCACAAAGAGTAACATTCTTTAAAAATTATTTAAAATGATATGAAATATTATTATGTAAATTATTCGGAAACAGTCTTTTTATCTACTGGCATCACTTACGAAAGGGTTTCAAAGTACCGAAATTGGAAATGAGATGAAGTCTTTAATTTTTTAAGTGACTTCTTAGAAATGTTATAAGAAAATTCACGTTTATGAATACACAAGAAGGTAATGTATTTGTTGTATAAAAAATATATATAATGAGTTTTTGCATTTTTAGTTAAAAATATAACTGTAATATTATTTTTTTATGTCAAAGGTGGCAAACGAGCAGACGGCCCACTTGATGGAAGGTGGTTACCGTCGCCCATGGATGTTGCGGATGCGTTGCCAACCTTGAATAATTTGATTGTATACAATACATTAAAATTTATCATAATTAATGTATATCGTGTAACGTGTCTGAGAATAGCAATCTATAAGGCTTGAACAATGAAATTGTCTTCTCTCGCCGTTATATTTCAACAAAAGCTAAGGCATTAGGCACTAGAAGTATCAGGTCCCTCGCGACATACCCATTTATAAAGGATTACTAGACACGGCTTGAAACATACATTAAAACTCACATCACATAACATAATATATTATGTTATGATTCTATTCGAAACGTCATTATAACGAAAGTACCGGTCAAAATTTATTACGTTTAAAAAATATTACCTACACACACCATATTATGTTATCCATGAAGATCTCAATATCTTTACAATAGAACATTAACCACCCGTAGCTTCACCCAAAAGATGGACTGGATACTTCGGTTACCAGAATAAATAACGCAATTTCTCTGATATTATAGAGAACCTTATGATTTATAAACATACAAAGTACTTCAAATAACTTGGTATAATATTATATAATGGGTATTAAA